GGTAAAATTATTTAATTCGGATTGTCACGATAACTCATAAAACTTAATTAATTAAATTTCAATTAGCTCCAATTAACTTTCAAGGGTCACCTAAAAATCTTCTCACGTTTCTCCTCACGTCTGATTTCTTACTCGTTTAATTTTATAGATTGGTGCGAGAAAGGTCAATTCGTATGTGGTAACAGCAAATCCTGTGTCGATACAAATAAAGTATGCAATGGTTTTAGCGATTGTCCCGGCGGTGAAGATGAAAAGAAATGTACCGCTTTAATAGATAACGAAGAAAACATAGCTGAATCACGAATTGATCTTGTCTTGACGAAAAACTTATCAAAAAATCATTCCGAGATGGTCAAACGTCTCGATCAAGTAATCGAGAGAAACAAAGAATCTTCTATTACAGAAAGAGACACAACCACTCTACAACCACCATATATTCTCCCTGATAATTTACAATCTGAAAGATTAATGAACGACAAGAATGATCTATCTTTAAAGTTAATCAATCAGGAATTGGCTCGGAATAGAGGTGTGGAAGAGAGTAACATCGAAGTTGCAGTTTCCAGTAGAGAAACATCTTCGAACATTTTAAGGAACGGTTTGATTCCGGCGAATAATTTGCATGACAAAGATAACAGAACCTTTCCAGTAGCAAAAGTTTATAACAATAACGAGATCGATAATTACAATAATAAAGGAATACTTAGCATCCGAAAAAATGGTAAATGGGGAAAACTTTGTTTTATGGATACGAATAGTTTCACACAAGAGCAGCACGCACGTCAACTTACGTGGTCCATCGAGGATCTTGCCAAAGCAGCGTGTAAGGCCATTACGTATCAGTAAGTATGACATCACCGTTAAAATTTCGATTAACAGAAGTTTCTTTACAAAGTCATTTCTATAATAAAATCAAATTTCTATTTTTTCTTTTCTTTTACATTTTTTTCTATAACAAATTTTTTTATGCTGAAAGTCCTTTGTTTGCAGAGATTATGAAATGGTGGAAAAAGTGCTAGATCAAAACCCGCCATCGAATCAATTTTACTATACTTTGTCGTATGATAAATCAGATCTTTCGGATATAACAGCTTTGTCTTTCAAATCATGTCAGTGCCCAAGCGGCGAGGTTCTTAAAATAAGATGCAAAAATTTCGAATGCGGGATAAGAACTCAGGTGGCATCGACCGCGAGGTATGTCTTCATAAAATATTGCTGCACTAATTCCGTCGGGCATGAAGCTCGGAATTAAACATTTTAAAGCAAATTATTTTGTTTTTGTCATTTTCAGGATTGTCGGCGGTGCTAGCAGTTCCGTGGGCAATTGGCCATGGCAAGTAGCCTTATACAAGGATGGAAATTATCAATGCGGTGGTGCATTAATCAATAACAAATGGGTTATCAGTGCTGGACACTGCTTTTACCAGTAAGTTGAAAGATGACAATTTTTTGTATTGTATATAGCTTCAATACAAGATTTTAATTGAAAATATTGCCTAAGCGCACAGAATAATTATTGGGTTGCAAGAATCGGTGCAACTCGTAGAGGAAGTTTCCGAAGCCCACACGAGCAACTCTTACGGGTGGATTATATATCACTACATCCGGATTATGTTAATAACGTATTTCTCAATGATATAGCTGTAATAAGACTCGAACGAGCAGTCAGATTCAGCGATTATATAAGACCAGTATGTCTCCCGAAAGCAGCAGTTCTCACTGGGACTGTATGCGTAGTCACTGGATGGGGTCAGTTATATGAAGTCGGCAGGGTATTTCGTAAGTGTAGGATAAATTCATCTTGGCAAAGATGATCGTAATCTTACATTAAAAAGATTTTATGTAATATAAATCCTGTTACTTACATTTAACAGCTGATACATTGCAAGAAGTACAAATTCCAGTCATGTCGACAGAAGATTGTCGAAGGAAGACTCTATTCTTGCCGCTATATAGCATTACAAATGGAATGCTCTGCGCAGGATTGGAAAACGGTGGCAAAGACGCCTGTCTTGGAGACAGTGGTGGTCCTTTGGTATGCTTATCACCGTTTGAAAATCGTTATGTACTACAAGGTATGAAATTGAATACTTAATAAATAAATTTCTCTATCCCTTCATCTAAATATAAATATCTTTTTTTTAGGGATTACTTCAAATGGCTATGGATGCGGAAGGCGAGAACGACCGGGCGTCTATACGAAAATTTATTCTTATATGTCATATATTGATGATGTTATCACACAGAAAGATATCCAACCGTCTGCAGTAGAGTTCTGCAAAGGTCACAGATGTCCTCTCGGAGAGTGTTTACCCAAATCACGTATCTGTAATGGATTTTTGGAATGTTCCGACGGCAGCGACGAACGGGATTGTACCACAATCTCGCGATAATACAAGACTGATATGTCAATATGATAATGTAAACGTGATTTATATTTATATAAGTAAACAGCGCAGTCCGATGAATAGATATAGTTTCATTAAAGGAAAACTAACGCAATTGTATATAAATTATACGTAAAGATACGTCGCATCAACGTCTTATTAAGGCAGTACATATAAGTGTATTTTTACTTTCTCAAGTCATACAAACAATTTTATGGTACTATAATTATCTTTCTATATATAAAGATGTGGTAATATCAATCTGCAGATAATGCGAGTTTGATATTAATTCATGCAAGTATCTACAACGTGCAATTAACAAATAAAATTTGCTTGAAAAGAATGGATCATAAACGGTTTAAAATATAAAAGCGAATTACAAAAGGAAATATGATAGAACATTCCACGTTCTTTTATAGTATAGAAATAGAATTAAAGTACACTATAAGCAGCAAAATTCAATAGACTGTTGCGAAATTTTAGAGATTATAGTTATATCTTCAAAAGAAAGATTCTTTTACTTCTAGACTAATTGTATATATATCGAGAAAAAGTAAAAAAAACTTTGCGATTATTTATTTAGAACGTTACAAATCTCTCTCAATGTCGTGTTATTAATGGTCAGTTATTTCAGTATACAGATCTCTATATAGATAATGATGTTCACGCAGAAATTAACTTGATTTGTATTCTGCTTTTAGACAAATGTTTTAAATTATGCTATTGGCAAGATCTAATCAAATAAAAAGTCTCTCTAGTCTATAATGTAAAAAGACACGACTTATCTTCACAGTAATGTGTACATATATTACGAAATTATTATAAAATTTATAATTAATGTGAAGTTTACAAGAAAAAATGGCAAGAAATATATTCTTTTTGTAAAATTCATGTTCTTTTCATTGTCTTCAATTTTTAGTTGGACAATTAGAAGGTAATTATGCAATATAATGATACAAAGAATGATATACAACTTCACTTTATTAGTCAGATTTTCATCACCAAAAATCATGTCCACGAAAAATATTAAATATATCGTACATATTAACGTTTAAATAAAAGCTTTCGTAAATAATTTTACAATACTGTTATCAGATTAAAAATAGATGAAATAATTATGTATTTTATTACAAATTGTGCGATATGAACAAACAAATAATTGCTAATGATGTCGCTGTTTTGTTCATTACAAATGTCATTTAGTACTTTACTTAAGTAATTTTATCTTACTCAAGTAATATTAGTATTACTTTCGTTAAATGTCACACTGTTAGATTTCTATTTCATTTCTTGATTATTGATATCTCATTTGTAAATATTGTATAATACTGAACTCGACAGAGTAAAAGAGTAGAGGCAAAATATATCGAACTATTGATGATGGCATCCGACACCATTTAGGAGTAATGCTCAGAGGCCTAGTATATCTGGTTCCTGATAGCTGTACATGTACAATGTTCATTTCATCCGGCATACCATAAAGTTCTGTGCAGCGACAGGTTTGAGCAATACTTCTCGTACGATAAAAAATGGTGTAAATGTATAAAAGAGCGACTCGAAGACGATAAAACTTTTGTCCATACTATGTTTAACATCATTCGTTATGTCTTCTCTCATTTTTGATCTTAAAATATATAAATATATAATACCTATACCACAGAAAAAGAAATTCCGTAATAATCCACAATAACTCCACTAGATATATTACAACCATTAAAGGAGTTCAGCATTTTGCAAAAGTAGATTATCTTGAGATTCAAGATATTCAATGATTTAATACAATTAAATACTTTAGCCTGATAATAGAAGAAGAGGTAAAATAATAGAAGAGATAAAAGAATCCTCAAACAGCAAAAAATTTCTCAAACAATTTAACAATACGTCGTTACTGTTAATTACCGAATGCATTTCGTCGATGTGTACAACTTATTATGTTCAGGAACATAGTGATATATATATATATATATATATATATATGTGTGTGTATATATGATCGAAGCCAATCCATTAGACATAAGCGAGATATACAATACTAAATCTGATATTTTCTTTAATTCTGCACATTATTTGCAGAAGATAATAAATAATATTATTAATAAATTGATAATATCTTTGACGATCATACCTTTAATTATATTGTTAAGAAGATGCATTTTTAGGCTGTGCCTATAAATAAATTCTTCACTTTTAACCAAGAGAATCAACAGCCATGGTATTAAGACCGTTCTTGCTAATAATAGTCTTAAATTGTTCCGGTACTGGATATTCGCTCTGCAATGTAATATATTCACATACAATTACAAAAATTATAAAACTATAAATTGTAGGCTAACTTACATAATCTCCATTCGCTTTGGGCACCATGACGTTCATTTCACTAGATTTGCTGGTGATGAGTTCAACACCCAGGGAATCCGTACTTAAATACATTTGACAACCGTCCGTTTTATCAATAGAAATTGTAGGTACCTTTCCAAGTACCTGTAATAAATATATAAAAAAGATGTAATTATTAACATATGTTATTAACATATCAGGCTAAAACTCGAATCAGTACTCGCAGTAATTGGCAATATATTCAGAGCGCATTTCGATAACAATTGCCAGTGCGTAAGTGCTTGGCCTTGCAAACCATGCCGAACATGTATCGGTAGTGGAAGATATAGGAGCCTGACAGTTCTCCGAATTTCACACGCATAATTTCATTTGCATTAAAATATCATTTCAACAAGCATTGCGTATATAAAAATGCCGTGGAAAATTGGTAAGAACATTTTTTCTTATTTTTAACGCTATACTAAATAAAACATAAATAGTGTACGTCAAAATATCTATTTATTTTGCAAAAAAATTCGAACGAATGAAAATGTTTTAGGTGGAAATTTCGAAACTGTAGCGGTAACATGTGAGACAAATTGGAAAGACTGTGTAATCGCAACGGCAAATTATTTGTGGAGTGAGGTTGTATCTGATGTCGTAGATTATTTAGCAAAAGAAGGAATTATATGGGTATGCAATTATGTACACACTCCACGGATTATTATTAATCGCTTTTAAAGTTTTTGTTTTTGTTAGGGATTTATATTACAAACTAAATATTTTAAATCTACAAATTATTTTTGTTCTAGTTTCATAAAATTAAGAATTTTTTTCTGGTTAAGTTATTAT